CAAAAGTGAGAGTATAGGTGCATAAGTTTATCAGTATAATAATAAAACAGCTAAATGAAATACGGTCATTGATGATAAAATGTAGTATAAATAGAGCATGTGTAACAACTGATTGCAAACAGGAAAAAATCATGACTTACATGGGTACCATCACGACCAGCTAAGGGAGAGTCATTGACACCAAAAGTCATGGAAATAGTTGGGGGATCCAACTCAACGGTGGGCAATGCAGTCATAATCTATCAGAAGCAACCATATGTCAGTTTTGCAAGGAATGTACCACCATGACATATTATAAAAAGATACAAAGTTTCTTCAAAAGAAAAAGATTAAAAATTGAAAACCCTGGAGTGATGCTAAAAATACCACTGCAAAAAAAGAATTACAGACCGTAATGTTTTCCATCTTCTTGAGACAAAAGTAGCTAAAGTAATCGAAGCAAGTAATTTGAAAGACAAAACACAATTGATGTAGGCTACCAACAACAAAGGGAGCTCAGAAAACTTAGTGAGGACCCAGTACCAAGCCTTCTCAAGGTAGGACTAGGAATAGAAGTACAATGGATACAGGAAAATATACAACAAAGCTATTATTCATATTTGCTAAAATAAAATAGGAGAAAATAAAATGAAAAGTAATTGCAAACGAACAAAAACTAAAGTCTAAAACCAAGATTGCATCAATATACCTCAACGCTTGCAACTGTATGGCCAATAGATGGGCTTGCTAACCCAGCCATTGACACTATGTCACCAGCTCCAGCACAATCAATTACGACCATATGTGTTCCCTTCTTTTTCATCAGCTTCACAACCTGCAGGAAAAAAAAAAAAAGTTATCTAGTACATAACTAACAAAAACTTAGTATTGTAAGATTTTAATATTTCATTTGAAGTTGAGCTTTGAATACTGTAAAAAGCCGCAACACTTTTGAGTACAAATATCAAACTTTTCATTGTTCTCTGAGAGACGGTGATGCTTCAGAGGTTGTTTTTCATATCAGATGCTTAGTCAGAGAAAATAAAGCTAGAAGCCTCAATAATCTAATTAACCAATTTCAAACTGATGGCTTTTGAGGGCAATAGTAGTTGAAGGGGCCATTCTAAGAATTATTAAGGAAGCCATTTCAGATAAGTCATGGTGAACGCTACAAGAGCTTTAACCCAACATGGGTAAAATCTCATGGTCATAAAGAAACAAACATTGTCCACTGCAAAAGAAATTCATTTTTAAGTTCTAACAACCATGAGGCAAATATAGAACCACAAACCTTCCCTTCTTCAATTTTCTCAACTCCAGAATCTTTGTGACGAAGCCCATGAACTCTGTCACCAATGCGAATGCTGCCAGAAGAAACTCGTCCGGTCAATATTCGTCCAAGGTAGAAGTCTCGTTCCATCATAGAAACCTTACATAAACATCAATATATGCTATTTTAATTTTTCCAGTACTATGAAAAATAAAAATGAATGAGAGGAATATACAAAAGTTAGTCATTTATCCATTAAGTTGTAACAGAAACAATAATAATATTGCTTGGCCAATTTGTTTTACCAGGTCAAAGAAGATGACACAGGTTTTACAGCCACGGAATTATAGATTTCTACAAATGAAAGTATGCCAAAACAGTTCACAAACGTTACCGCATTTGACACAAGAAACAAAAAGATGCAGTGCATAGTGAATAAAAAATATAGGAAAGTAAGCAAACAGCCTTCATTTAGAACCTTTTTAATTCTCTACAGCTAACAAGAACAACAGCCTCTATTGAAATGATATGTGCATATGGAAATCTCAAGTGAAAGAACTTCATAAATAATATTGGCTCAACCTGCATATTTCCAGCTTAAAGGGGAAGAGGAGAGCATGCAGGGGATAAGTATACAAACCAGCATTTGGAAAGGTGCCTCAAGATTGGCTGTTGGTGGAGGAACATGACTTATAATGGCATCAAGCAGTCGTGACATATTTCTTGCATCAGCAGGAGGATCTTTGGTGAAAGTGGTGGAAGCCCATCCTTCTTTAGCAGACGCATACAGCACAGGAAAATCTAGCTGCTCCTCTAATTCAAAAATAGGAATATGTTTAATTAGCTTTTCATCCAACCAATACGAAGTTATGAAAGTGAAAACTAAATTTAGAACATAACACAAAACCAAATGGCAATGAGCGGAGAGGCTCAGCATTTTGTATATTGTGATGCAAGGCTTCATATATCAGATGTGAGATTTTTGTATTCTCAACATGCCTTCTTATTTGTGGTAGGATTGAGACAAACATGTAGATAAATTATATCGGGTAACAAAGAACATGTGTGGTCAAATTGTGTTGAACATATGAATGTATTGCCCACTTTCATACGATGTTAAAATTAGAGCATCCAACTCAAGATCAATTGGCTAGGTGCTGCAGCCCAGGATATTATGTATTGTAGTGCAAGCCTTGAAATGCCCAAAGTGATATTTAAAATCTCAACATTCCCACTAACATATGGCCTGACATATGGATGAATTTCTTGTTTCCAACCCTGTCAAAGTTCGAGTATCCAACCAAAACCAATTGGCAATAAGTGGAGAGACTAATATATTAGCTTGAAATTCACGATAAGGGATTTTCTAGTCTAAAAAATAAACCACAGCAAACGTGGGTGTAACCATGTTGATTCTTTTATATCCACACCTGTAGCACCAAGATTCGCAAAAAGATCAAACACCAAACTCTCAACTTCATTACACATCTCCTCAGAAACTGCATAAGCACAAGAATTAATAACATAAGCACTAATCCAAGTAACGGAAAATACAGCACAATAAATTGTGATGTACGAGATGGAAACTGTTTTCTTTTTTTTGGAAATGAAATGACAACTATGTGATAGAAATTATGGCAAGAGGAATGTGAAACAATAAAAGGGAACAGGATGCCAAATAAAACAAGACAAGCCAGACACAGACACTAGAGAGAACATTATGCACAAACAGAATGCCTTCAAGGAAGCAACCAAAAATCTTCATCACACAACTCTTCTTTTCTTAGAGAGTTTACATGACAAACCCTGCCAACTCAAACACAACCCAATTTTTGGATAACTCCACTACTTGGAAAAAGATAGTTACTAAGTTTAACAAATAGAGAAGTTAATAAGCTAAACAAATAGAGATGTCAATCTTTAACCCAAATCAAGAGTTCAAAGGATTATGACGTCTTCAGCTGTCCAATCCAAGAAACAAAGGAACCCAAATACCCTATAAACAAAGAATTCCTAAACCATCCAGACTGCTAATGTCCTCCATTAATCAACAATCCTGTTCTATAATTATTCATGCAATATAGGTTCAACTATTCAAATTAAAGATGCACCAAGCGCGAATAAGTACCTGCAGGACGATCTACTTTGTTTAGAAGAAGAATGGGGCGCAGCCCATATTTTAAGGCTTTAGCAAGTACGAACTTGGTCTGTGCAAGTGGACCTTCCCCAGCATCAACAACTAAAATTGCACCCTCAACCATACCAACAACCCGCTCAACCTACAAAGCGATCAACAAAAAAAGTAGCACAAGAGCAATGAAAATGAGCAATCAACATGCATAAACATATATAATTTGCATCCATTGAGGGACAACACAGAAACATTGATCATTGGTTTCAAAAAGGAGCTTACTTCACCACCGAAATCGGCATGTCCAGGCGTATCAACCATGTTTAACTCATTCTCCTTCCATGGAATTGACGTGACCTGCAAATCATTTTAAGGTAATTGATGTAACCACAATCAAAGACAACCAAAGTAAACAAAAGCATTTCGATTTCTTTAAGATTTCAGATTCCTATTTGCATAGCAATATAGGATTACACTCGAAGACAAAGTCAGTCACTGACCTTGGAGGCGATGGTAATTCCGCGCTCGCGCTCGAGGCTGATGGAGTCCATGGCTCGTTCGTGGGGGATGTCGGCGCCGCACTGGCGGAGCAGGCGGTCCATGAGCGTCGTCTTGCCGTGGTCCACATGGGCTATTACCGCCACGTTGCGGAGGCGGCTCGGATCCAGGACGGTGTTCGGGGAAGTACTAGCATTGGAGGCCGCAGTGGCTGCCGAAAAGGCGCGTGCGAGTGGAGATGTGCGTGGGGTTAATGGGTAGGGTTTGAGAGTGGGGGACGCAAAGGAGGAAGAGAAAGAGTTGCGCGTGGAGGACCAGACAGAGCGAAGCAACGGCCCCGCCATTTCTAACACCGAGAGAGAAATGGTAGAGTAGTTCCCGTACAATTGCCTGGGTTTAAGGTTTAAGGTTTAACGTTGTTTCTGATCGATGGGGTTTAAGACTTCCACCCGAACACAGAACTTCCACTTTTCTCACATTTGCACCCCATGAAGTTTTCAAATTGTATTAATTTACAATTTTTTTTTTTCTTCTTTTAACGTCATCTTCCTTTAAATTGAAAATAACATTTACATGAAGATGTCAAATTAAAATGTTAAATTCATTTATATAGTTGATGTGGCTAAATATATTTTGTAAACGATAATGCAGGGGAAATTATTTATTTAAACTGTATTTTGTAAGTTATATGATATGGTTGTTAATGATTAAATTATTAGTATTAAACCTTATTTTCTTTTAAATTATTATTTTTTCTGTTAGTATATCTAGTATTACTCTTTGACAATTTAATCCAACTTAACATGATCTTTGAAAAAAAAAAAAATAGTTGAAAAGGATCTTGCTATCTACACATCTATTTTTACCTCCCAGTTGTTGATTTCTATCATCACCACCTCTTAGAAAAGTATAACCCAAGCTAATCAGTAAGAATAATACTTAGTACTCTGTATACTCACTCTTTCATTGAACAAACAATATTATGTATGAATGGAAGAGTTGGTTAAACCTCACAATAAATTAGCAATAATGTGATTCATGTTCGCCTTGAACGAGAATACCACAATTAATAAATCATGTGTTAAAATATAATTAGATAAAATCAAAAGTAAGAAACCAATCCAATCAGTAATCCCTCCTCTCTCTCTCTCTCTCTCTCTCTCTCTCTCTCTCTCTCACCACGACTGCAGAAGACTCTGAACCCACCCGTAAGTAAGTACTAAGGAGAGTGAGGATTCGACTCAGAGAAGAGTGGGAATTCAATCTCGTTGAGCAATAATCAACAGAAAGAGTAGACAGGCCTGGCTGCTTATTTAAATGAGGTAAGCTCTCCGATTCTCGTATTGTTATTTGTCATTGAATGCCCACTTCCTGTTCGACAATATTCCTCTGAGACAAATTCCTTGCATTCTTTTTTGTTAATCTCTGCCCAACCATTATCCTTATCTCCGTAGCATCTTTACAAGTTGATTTGTTTAATACCAACTGCAGATTCACGACTTGACATCCATCCCATGTTATTTGTTTCCCACCAACCTTGTGTTAATATTTGTTTAGATTTCATTTGTAATCCGGATGCTGTCACTTCCATTTGTGTACTCATCTCTAATACGTAATACGTAAACCGAAAAAGAATTTCAAGCTAACCATTCAGCTACTGTATGTTAATGTTGTTGCATTGATAAAATTCTTCAGGTTTGGTTTTGTAATTGTCGAGGTGGTGCCGGTGTCATGCAAATATTGATGCAATACAGTCCACAAGTACAACATGGCTTTGAGAGCAGCAAATGCAAAGCTTTGCACATCTCTTCTTCCTGTACCTTGTTGTCTCCTGCAGCATCGCTCCTGTCACTTGATCACTTCATCTCAAATGCTCCAAGAAACCATAAGAAATACGGTTGAAGCCAAAGCATACGAGAAGATACCTGATCTCCTCATTTCCTCTGCCCAAGCATGCCAAAAGCCCAATCCTTTCTCATTCCTTTCAACCTATCCCAACAACCTTAGAACACAAGTCGTTGATCAAATTTTGCAGTCTTTCATCCCTCTAAGGCCTCGTTCTAGAGCGCAGATTACTTATTCCTGCCTCCTTTCATTTACACTCCAAAGCTCCAATCCCTTCCCTCTTGCTCTTGCCATTCTCCAACGAACTCTTCGCTCTGGCTGCGTCCCTGTCCCCCAAACCCTTCTTCTCCTCTCTTCTGCTTGGATGAACTGCCGGAAAGAATCTCTGTCTCTGTGTGAGATCTTATTGGATATGCAGTCAATTGGATATCATCCTGACTGTGGAGTGTGCAATTACCTGATATCTTCTTTGTGTTCTGTTGATCAGTTGAATGAGGCGGTTAAACTCTTAAAGGGTATGAGTAGGGTAGGATGTATTCCTGATTTGGAGAGTTTTGACACAGTAATTGGTGCAATGTGCACTGTCAGAAGAACAGCCGAGGCAGTAGATGTGATTAAGCAAATGGTGGAGAAAGTTGGGTTGACTCCAAGGCAGGGGACGGTTATGAAAGTGGCAGCAGCATTGCGAGCAAACAAAGAGATATGGAGAGCGGTTGAGATGATTGGGTTCTTAGAGAGGGAGGATCACCCTGTCAGCTGTGAGAGCTATGAATTGGTGGTTAACGGGTGCTTGGATGTGGGTGAGTATATTTTGGCGGGGAAGGTGGTGATTAGGATGACGGAGAGAGGTTTTATACCTTATATCAGGACCAGACTGAAGGTTGTTGAGAGGTTGGCTGGCGCTGGTGAATGGGAGCTAGCTTGTTCTGTGAGGCAACGATTTAGAGAATTGAAGTCGTAGCTCCCTGTATATCTTTGAGGCCATGGATTCCACTTCTTTACGTTAATGGGAGCTGGTACTCAGTCCATTTGAAGTATGGGTTCAATGTTCCTTTTCTCTGCCACTAAGCATCTTAAAAGTCTGTTGTCATTTGATGGTAAAGTCATGGTTCTTAATTCTTTTTAATGCTAGGGCCAAGAAGAGTTTGAGATGAAAAATAACTTCTTCATAGAGCTGAACAAGTTTGTGCTTGTAAACTTATTGGGACCCATATGGAACAAAATTTTTATTTAGCACTATAAATATCTACATTTTGAAAGAAACCTAAACAGATAGTTGTGAGATGAAGTATTTATTGTTTTAACAAAGTGAAGGTAGGATTTGAAGAATAAGAAAATTTTCAGCGTAATTTCAATAGTAGTCCTCTTGTCTCTAAGCTTGGTAATTTTTCAGCTTATTTTTTCTTAGAGTAGCTTTTGACATGATGAATGGGTTTAGGATCGAACGAGAATCCTCTTTGTGATGTTATTTCTCTTTCCCAGAAACGAAATTCGTCTTCTCCTTTTGGAATATGATTGATAACTTATAGTTTGGTTTCCCTGTTTCTTTCTTAACCACGTTCTTTTCAAACTCTAAACCGCTGTGAACTAAACTAAACATTTATTTGCGTCTGTATAGAAAACTCAGCATTTCTCAGAATAACAATTGTAACATGAATTAATGATGAAATGCTAATAAGATATGCCCATGTTATTTGATAAACTACATAATCTCAGTTAATACCCATTATGTTTGAATTATTTTCCTTGTTTTCTTTGTACTATTTGGAATTCCATGGTTGCATATTTTACCTTGTTACTATATAGAAGAAGGTTAATTTATCATACTGCTCAAGCCTGAACAGGGTAGCTAGCCTGCATGGCAATGCCGCAAGTACCTTCCTTATCAGCCGAGTTGCGTGTTATTCTTACATAACCAGATTCACCCCAGTCAAGACCCCAGGAATTCTTCACAATCCAGTACTTTTTACCACTATCTTCTCCATACCCCACTGCGGTGACTCCATGGTTGAGATTCTTTCCGCAATAACCAGTGAAGATACCTGAAGAATAGAGTTGAAAACCATAACTGCCAGCATCGATTGCAACAGAGACAGGTTGGCGAGCAACTGCGGCTTGTAGGCTTTTCTCGTTATTGACAGGTATTCTTTCATAGCCACTTATGTTCACAGCACGTCTTTTCAATTTATCCTCATCACAGGTACCCTGTAATCCTTCGTAGGGATAATCGTCTTCGGTGGAGAGTCCGTTATCTTTTATGAAACTAAACGCTTTCTCCATGAATCCACCACTACAGCCTTCGTTCCCAGAGTTGACATCGCAGTCCACAAGTTCTTGCTCTGATAGTGACACCAAGTTTCCAGTTTTGATTTTGTTAATTCCTTCAACAGCTGCTACGGCTGAGAAAGCCCAACAACTTCCTGCATTGTAAGTGTAGTACTATCAGACGTTGCTAATTAATATGCTATCAGCAGGCTGAACATCAAGGACATGTGAGTATTATCTACAACCCAACTTTTTATCATTGTTTATATATCTTAAAGCAAAAACTGTATTAAGCTTTGGCGTCTTGGTATGTACTTGGAACGTGATAGAATATGCATTTGTTGTAGAATAATTCCAGAAAGTACGAAACTAAACTTAGAAAAGTAATTCCCGAACCATCTTCTAGCAGAAAAACTGAAATTTCAGGAGCATAAAAAGGGGGAGAAATAAAACGTAATTTATACCACATTTGCCTTGCTCCTTGATTGGAGTTACCGCGCCACGCTTTCTCCAATCTACTGTAGTCGGCAAATCTTCTTCCTTGTCATAGCTGAACCTCGTCTTTAGATCTCTCCTAGTTTGGAAACCCATGTAGTTTGTTGTGAATTCTATGTTTGTGATATCTGCAAACTTGTTGTCACTGAGTTTGTATGAAAGATTTTGAGAATTTATGAAATCAACAAACTCAAGGTTGGATTTGTATATCCCAAAACGGTATTCCTTTTCCTCTTCACTCTTATATGTTCGGCCATATTTGTCCTGCCACCTTTGATATCTCTGCCTCATGGCTTTGAGGTCACCCTCTGGAGGCTTGTACTCTTGGGCACATGCTGTAGATGATATGCACAAAATGCACACCATGAAAAACGTTAAGCTAGCACACGCTAACATCATAAAATGTTTGCTTGTTGATAGTCTTGAGATTAACAATGGTATTGATTTCGAGTTTGCGTTTTCTACGTGTTTGAGTTCAAGTCTTGTTTATAGTAATACGATTCGAGGTAGTTTTGAAACGGGTAGTATTGTTTTGCTCATGCTTTTTGTGCTTGTGAATTTTGTTTAAGGCTTCTTTATTGTGTTCTTATGATGAATGAAGTGTTTAGGCTACGTATAGAGGTGTTGTGTTCGCTACGCTAACCCACAGATAGAGTGCGGCTATGTTGTGCTATTTCGACTGGTGGATATCATTTCGCAGGTTATATATGACGATAAATGATTTTCACACTCTCATTTTCTTTTCTTGCATTTTCTTTTTGTTAGTCTTTGGATGGAAAATAAAAATCAAGAAACAAAAACACAAGAGCGGAAAATCGGTTGTAGAGTGAACTCGTTTGCTATCTGACTAGCCTACATATTAAACAGCACATCGGATAACAATTATGGCCTTAAGTTGCTGTCCAAAATTTAGGGGTGCAACTTGGGTTGAGTCAAACTGAATATGCCCATGCACATTTCAAATCCGATCAGACGGATTATAATGAAGAAAAAAAACACACCCAACACGCAACCAAACCTCAACACTATCATTTATTGGGTGGGTCGGGTTGTTGTCTTGCTCACCCATGTCAACCCCAACCCAACCCCATTTTTTTAGTCCGAATTCACTCAAGCACATAATATACCCTCCCATTTCATATTATATAAGTTATGTATAAGTTTTGGAATGACTATACTTGAACTTTATTGTCGGTTTTCATATGGGTAATAACAAATGAAGTTTTACTTTTACATTTCTTTTGGTTTAAGCCTTGGTATACATTCTGAAATTGAATTTCAACTTTGCATGGTTTGAAACATTAGAAATAGTCATCAAGTTGTTTGTTTTAACTTTTGTGAGGATGATGATGTGTAAATGAAATTTTAATTAATATTGACGTTGTTTGATTCAAAATTTTAAAAATCATTCAAAATACAGTGGTATAAATAAGTGTGAACTCGATAAAGTTGAGTGAACCTGAACCTAATCCAAAGAAACCCTAACTAATTAAAATCCGAACCCGAGTAAATCTGCATGAACCCGAACCTAACTCAACCCAAACTCAAATTGTGAAGGTTGGGTTAGGATTGGGTTGACCATTCAACTTACCCAACCGGCATGAGTTGCACCCATACCAAAATCTGATTAAGTTGTGGTTCATGCAAATGATCATGCTAAAGCTCCCAACACGTAAGGAATTAAGTTGAGCTAAAACTCCCAAACAATGGTTTTGTTAATCAAACCCTAAATCTCAATCCTAAACCACCCCACTAATCGTGATTAGTGCCTCCTTGAGACTTCCTCGATAAAGGCAAATTAATGCATATTCTAAACACCCCACTAATTATGATTAGCACTGCCCCCCAAACACTTTCAGATTATCCTGATTTATTAAAAGCTACAAAAATTCTAGTCGAGGTACTGATGGAAAGTACCACGAAACTTACACCCCCCTACATGTGGGTATGGCTTGGGGACAAAGTAAAAGAAGCTTAGAACGTCCGAACAATTCACATGGGGAGTGTAACGTGATTCCCTTTCCTACCGCCTCATGTGCTCCAAATTGCCCTAATCCCACTAATAAACTATCTAATTATTGCCAATTCAACCTGTTTATACTCCTAATAGTAATACGGGTCCACCCCTTGGTTTCGGTCTGCGTAGTGATTTTTTTTTTTTCTTTTTAACAAACGATATTAACTGCATTCATATGGGATAAAGCTTAAAATGTAAGTTTTAAATCCTCCAAACCATTTCCAACCATTGGGCTGAAATAAATCTTATGGAGAAAATATATATATATCTAGGCTAGATTCCTTCCAAGATTTAAGTCTGGCTTAAATTATTCTAGACCCACCAAAACATCATATTTCAAACATTTTTTTTGTTTTTTATTTATAATCTAACAGCTGTGATCAAATAAGATCAAATCTAATGGTTAAAAAAAGATGTGACGGTCCACAATTAAATCTAACGTCTAAAATAATTTAAGAAAATTAGTTAAATCAAATTTCACTTAAAACTTTATAAATACCTATGTATTTATATGATTTTTAATTACTTATTAAAATTTAAATATTTTAGATTAAAATGTTCATAAAAATAAATAGGATAGTCTGCAAAAATTTTATTTTCAAAAAAGTTACCTAAAAATAAGGCTAAAATCATTTTTTAATAATTTCGGGCTAAAATTTTAAGTCATAAGGATTGGAGGAGAAAAACAGTTTCTGGGTTATGACTTAAAATTTTTTAGCTTAAATTTTTAAGCTTTATCTCCAAGGGTTGGATATGGTCTAAGGGGGTGAAGGTGTGGGTTAAGTCTCACAATGAGCTAACAACAATGTGGTTCAAATTTGCATTTAGCAAGAATCGAATCTAAGACCTCACACTTACAAGTGAAGAGAAACACAACTAGACCGTAGTATTAAGTGGTCGTCAGCGTAGTGATTTATGTTTAGGTTTTTTTTTAATCTTAAATGGTCTCTAAAATTGACTCACACTATTAAGATGGTCTCTGAAATTAAAAATCGATCAAAGTAGTCATTGAAAATAGGTGTCGCAAATCAATGTGATGGTTCTTCTGTCACAATTCTGTCAAAAGTTCTGTTATGTGCTGGTGTGACACATAAATGGGTCCCACAAGTCTAATTAAATTAAAAATAAATTTGAATAATAATTAATTAAAAAAATTGTCAACCTAGAATCCCAGTCCCGGCATCATCTCTAATCACAGCCCACACTCCTCTACCTCCATCTATGGTAGCCTTCTCCGTCTCTCCTTAGAAAAAAAAAATTCTCAAGACATCTATCTTTACACCATTCGACACCCTCCACCGAATTAGACCAGGATTGAGACCACCTTTGGTGACGGCTTTGATTGGCGACAACATCTTTGACAATATTATTAACATTTGGGCAATTGACATCCTCATAACCATAATCTAAGAGAAGTTATTCGGCGCTCCTCCGGTGATCTTGGTGACTAGGAGAACGGCGAGTTCTGCCTTGAGATAATCTCATTGTGCAAAAAGGTATTTTGACCATTTTTTAATTAATTATTAAATTATTAAACCACATTAGCACATAACAAAATGTTTGACAGAATTGTGATTGAATGACCATATTGATTTGTGACACCTATATTCAGGGGCTACATTAATTGATTTTCAATTTTAGAGGCTACCTTGATGGTACGGATCAATTTTAGGAATCATTTGTGATAAAAATCCATAAATCTTGTGGGACCCATTTATGTGCCACATCAGCATATAACATTTTTTTTATAGAATTATGACAGAAATACCACATTGACTTGCAAAACCTATTTTCAGGGACTACATTGGTCAATTTTCAATTTCATGGACCATCTTGATGATGTGGGTCAATTACAGGTACCATTAGTGATAAAAATCCTTTTTGTTTTTATTATTATTATTATTATTTTTTATCTTTCTAATATAAGAGGTATTTCACCACATATCTATGGCAGACTATTCTTTCTTTTTATGTAGCATCATACTTTTGGTCCCTAGATCAAACATTATGCCACAATAGAGATGGTGGCCCAAAAAAATTCATACATAGGTGTTTGAACTCGAGTTAAAGGTAAATATTTGCCCACTTTTCACTAGACCAACCCCTTATCACTTTTAAGTGTGGTAGTTCTTAATTTATGACTTATCTTTGCTTTGTCCCTTATGTCATACATGAAATCTCGCTTTACTCCCTACACTCTATTAGACCTTACTTTGTCCCTTGTAATACTGATTTGTGCCTCATTTTACTCCATTTGGCAATTGGATTGAAGAATGCATTAATTCCGCTGATGATACAGGAACTCTTTTTATTTCAGCTCTAGTTGCTGAAGTCATATGAATTTTTTGTTCTTCAAATGTCTAATAACTACAATGAAAAAAATTTCCCTAACAATCATTCTTAACCATTTTGTGATAAGCGAGAACAATCCCTCATGCGTGTATGAACATTTGCTATCTTTGATGGAATGTTAAATTCTATAAATGGTCAGTTTTTGCAAGTATTTTAGATACAAATTCTATAAATGCTCAGTTTCTCTAGTTGACCTGATTGTTTATAGATGAGACTCTTCGTATGCTGACTAACAATAGGATTTCATACCATGCTAGTTAGTCATCTGTTGTTTTGCTAGGATGGTGCCGATCTTATTTAGCAGACCACTTCAACAAATATGTAGTAATAAGCACGATCTGTGAAATTCCGTCCCCGGAATTTCATTATTTACTTTACATATTTCTTATCTATTAGGTTTTATTAACTATATTTTTGTTAATATTAGAGTTTTAATTACTTAGTCATAAAGTTTGGTTTTTATAATTAGTTTTTTTTTTAAAGGAAAAAAAGAAAGAAAAAGAGAGACTAGAATCTGCCAGATGGCAGTGAGAGAGACAAAGAAAAGGAGAGAAAGGAGGAAAAGTGGGGGAACGGACCAATAAGAAAAGAGAGTAAGGAGGGGAAAGGAGGGAGAGAAAACCACCCAATCTAGATCATCTCTTCGACCCCTTTCAAACACGGTTTTGACCCGGTTCCTAGCGACGATTTCCGTTGATTTTCGTCAGTTTTTTTAGCAAATTTCCCTCAGCTGTCACTTGTACACTCCACCCCATCCTATATTCTCTCACTTCCACCAAAAATCTGAGAGTTTTTGGCCTTTATTGTGTAGAAACCGCACGATGGGTGTGACGGGTTCAAGGGTGGGGATTGGCCGATTTCGAAAGCCTCACTGTCAACCACCACCCATTTTCAACTCCTCTTGAGTCCAAGAACAAAGCCCAGGGGTGGGTTAAGGTGTCAGAGCTTGTTTGGAGTCGAATCTAAGCACACCCAAATCTACCGTGGGAAAATTCAGGCGTTTTCCGATCAAATTAGACTTCGGCCCAGGTATGAAAATTGGTCCCCTCACTGAGATCTACTTGCCTGTAAAATTTGGTAATTTTTTGAAATACTTGAATTTTCCGATGAGTCGTGACGGCCGACCACCACCTACGGTGGCGTGTGGCTAGTGGGCCGACAATGCCTTTATAAGTTAAATTGGATGCCCTGATTTTGAATTTGATACCCGCATGATGAAATTTGATTGTTTGAACCTATTTTCATTATAATACGCCACTTGATAATTATATGAATCGACGATCCGACCGTTGGTTTGTCACCAATCTTTAATGCGTTATAAAGCGTAATATTTGAGGATATTAGGAATTAACTGATCAAGAATTCACGTACAGATCTTCCTGAATTGAATTTCTAAGTTTGTAAAAGTAAAAGTTGACCGCCACTTGAATTTATGATTGGCAGAGATCCAACTGTCGGATCACAATGAGATTTTAGTATGTTGTTCTATGAGCATAATGTGAACCTTAAGAAGTTATGGTTCCAAAATACGATGTGCCGATCTTTCGGATTAAATTGCTAGGGTGTGTACCCCATCGTTGACTGAGAGTTGACTTTTGATTAACATGTCTTGAACCATTTGAATTACTGAAGTTAGTATTAGTAGAGATTCAGTGAGACTTTGTGGACTTATCTCAATGAGTGACTTTAATATATGTGATATGGTTATTATCCTGTTTTCTTATATTAGTATCCTTTGTGGATATGACTTGGTTTTATAAATGTGTTTTCTATTAAAATGTGATTTTTATAATTGGCCATCGATCTATTTTTATTAAATGTGATTTGACTCATGGATTGGAAATATTTGTGAAAAAGTGCTTTGAAGTGCATATTAAAATGTTTGTTAAACCTAAGGGCTAGTAGGGGACCGTTACCCTAGTGTCACGGGGTTAGGTGACACCGAGTCTGCACCATGTAGCAGTGGTACATAGATGGTCCTACTTGGTTAATCCGCATAGGGGACCATACTATTTATGGATCGCGCTTGGTTAATCCGCAATGGGCAATCTTTCTGGCCATATATATTTAGGAGTGATCATGCTTGGTTAATTCATGATGGGTGATCACTGCCTATAACCCTGCTTGGTTAATTCGCGAGGAGGGGCCACTAGTGGTCCTACTTGGTTAATCCGCGATAAGGGACCATGGTCATGCTTGGTTAATCCACGATAGGGGACCATACTATTTATGGATCGTGCTTGGTTAATCCACGACGGGTGATCCTTATGGCCATGCATACTAAGGGGTGATCATGCTTGGTTAATCCACGATGGGTGATCATTGTCTAACGAATTCGTAGCAGTGACTCTGCTTGGTTAATCCGTAATGGGGGGTCACTACCTACATGGTTTCTCAAGCGTGACTCTGCTTGGTTAATCCGCTATGGGGGGGGGGCACTTCCTGTTTTGTTACTTGTGTAGGCTTCAGCCGAACTGCGTTCCTCTAGCCCTAGTTTTTAATGTATTTATGAACGATAGTTTTGAGAGTCTTTGTGGTTTGAATTAGAAAAGCCGTTTGATGTATGGGTGACTCATTCGGAGTTTTTAGTGACTTGACTATGATTTCATAAATATAAACTTATATTTGAGATTTATAAACTATAATCGATGGCCTTCCTTTTTATTGGTTATCACATACTTGTATTATTGTCACTCACCCAAGCTTTGCAGCTTGTCCGAGTCCTGGTTTGCCAGTGCACCATTCCCATAATGTAAGTACTGATTATACATGTGACAGGTTTGGGTAGATTACAAGAAACCGCTTGATATTTTGGTTTCGTTGAGTGGTCCGGAACCCGATGTTGTTGGATTCCGTTGAGTGGTCTGGAATCCTTGCTCTTGCTCATTTCCATAAGGTTAGTATAGAACCTTAGATTTGAGTGAATGGGAATTACCCATAATAGACCTTCTGAATATAAATTAGATTACCATGTTATTACTCATTGATTGATTAACGTAGTTAAATGTTAAAATCATGCATCTTTGATTCATGAATTGATTAATTGACGGGATTATGGAATGACGTTGGATATGATTGTTATGATTATGATTATTTTAGTTGATCAATGTGGCTTGATAATAATACTGTGCTTCGTTGGTTATTTGATATGTTACATGTTGTGGATGGAGGTATCATGTTGAAAACATAGTGATTTATATGATGGATGGAATGGGAACCTTGAATGTTATGTGGGTTTGTTGTGGGGCCCTGAACCTAGTAACTTCATATGTTTGTTAACTTCTAATATTTGATTAAGGAATACTATACTTTTCAATTTGAACGTACTGTGATAAATGTCGGAGTGTAGTAAATGGTGAACTACGAATGGCTTGATTCCTATTTAGGGTACGTAGGTAGTCTAACTAGGAGATTAGATGTAGCCATAAAGCATATGAAAATTACTATGAAATCTGAATCTTGAGCCATGCTTGTACATATCCTGAATGCGGGGTATGTTAGATATATGGATACTTGGTGACGTCACGTGTTGGTCCTGGACGTATGTCAGGATCAGAGTGTGACACAGTCTTTGGCAAATAACTTATCAAAGTAGGGGACACCGGACACCCAAGGGAGGCTCTGAAGAGTCGATCCCTACTTTCTTGATCTCATGAAGGGTGCAGTGGCATGAATTGGGATATGATGAGCTCAAAGGCCACTTTGATATCTACTTGAGCTCGAAAGCCCAAGACCTATAGGACATGCAACGCCTAGTCCATTAGAGTTACATGTGTGGATGTGGTTAATTTATGTCTCCACAAGTACAATCACTCATGACCGTGTGGATAACTTCGTGCAATTAATGTATGCATGTGGGTGATTGTATCTAACATTTTTTTTTCTTCCTACAAATGCAAAAAAGGGTATGATGGTCCTATCATCATATGGTTTTACTAATATATGCGCTCGGTGTTACTAATTGTATAAAATAAAAAGCGTGTTTCTTTTGTGATGTCCTTTGATCATTCTCTGTTTGTGTATCATGGTTTAAATTTTCAACCCGTTAGCTTAACATGGTAATAGAGTACTACGACACAAACCCATTAAGATAATAAATTGACACAAACACAAAAAATACGACACATTTGTCGCGTCTACTCGAAGGACGATCTAAGGGTTATAATTTGAGGAAAGGGATCATCTCCAGATCCCTTCCTCCTAATCCATCAAGTTCAGAGATCCTGTTTATAGTCATTAGATCAAATTTCAACAGTTCGAATCTCTCAAACTTGGTGAATTACGAGGAATGAATCTGAAGAGGATCCCTTCCCATTACTTGATACAAGAACCCTTCACCCATGTGGATGGGTCTGACGGTCAGAATGGATGATGGTAAGTTTAAAATGTAGTTGTGGGTTGCATGCAAAGCATTGCACACGAGAATGTTCCTTTGGATGTGGGACAGTAGCAGTAGAAAAATATAAATATGACGAGGGAGGGCCTATTGTATTATTCTATTATTATAGGCTCTCGTACTAAAGAGACGGTCACAAGGGCACGTGGTGGCTGATTCCGCTTGTTATGTTATTAAACTAGTACAGGCGACTTTCCAGTAAAACCGTTGAACCCCAACCTCCTCCCAGCTGGAGATAGCTGTCCAATCCCCTGCCCATGTGACCCCACTGCACACATACATAGATAGAGATCCAATACAATGAAAGAGAGGAAGATATTTGCTCAAATATTGATTTTATAGACTTTGGGCATAAAAAAAACGAAAATAACTAATTAAGAGGGAAGATTCTTTGTTACAATGGATGATATCACGTAATAATTATCTAATTGATAAAGTACGTGACAATCATGTATGCTGTGCGTGTTGTTATTGAAATAATATATTAATTTCAAAAGAGTTTCTGCAGCGATAATTATGTTACATTTTACCTTTAACATTACCTTTTGTGTATTTTCTGGGTATATATAGGAGCTTATGTTGAAGCTCTTGTAATTTTGGTTTGGTTTCTTTCAGGGCATCTCTCTCTCATCATCTCAACATTCCAAGGCGAGAGTTTGATTGATACACAAAACAGTTAACATTATTTTGTGTGCAATATTAATATCATGGCACAATTACCTCCAAAAGTTCCAAGCATGACACCCAATTGGCCTGACTCTTCACACAAGAAGATGCCGCCTTTAATGGGCGGCTGTTTTGCCCCCAGTGGAAATGCCATTGCCGCCACCACGTCCCAAAACCCTAGTTGGGTTGATGAATTCCTCGACTTCTCTTCGGCGCGACGGGGATCGCACCGGAGATCCATCAGCGACTCTATCACCTTCCTGGAGGCACCAATGCAGGAAGAATGCCGCGTCTTCGCGGCACCTCCAGGCTCAGGCTCGCACTCCCACTCCCACGCTAACAACAATCATCACGAGTTTGATAGGTTCGACGACGAACAATTCATGTCCATGTTCACCGCCGATGAAATGTCCGCCGCCGCCGCCGCGGCGGTGGGACCTACAGGGTCGTCGTCGAACCCGTCCACGCCTTCGGATCATAACAGCATCAGCGACGATGAGAAAGAAGCGCAGGGGAAGCAGCAGCAGATCAATAGGCAGCTAAAGAATGAATCAGAAGAGGTGGAAAGCCAATGCGAATTACAAACCACATCCAATGATAGGAAAATTGATCCCAAAAGGGTCAAGAGGTAATCTTCATGCACACACACACACACTTATACATATGTGCGTGTGTATATATATATATATATATCATATATATATATATATGAGTTTAATTAATTTTGTTATTTAATTAGTTCTTAATTACATAATTTTATTGTGTGTTGCATTAGAATTTTGGCGAACAGACAATCTGCACAAAGATCACGGGTGAGGAAGCTACAATACATATCAGAACTCGAACGCAGTGTTACCTCTCTGCAAGTAGGTTAATTACATAATTTAATTCTGATTTTAATTAATTAACTTGTTTGTCAAACAAATAACTGAATATTTTTTTTCTTGTCTTGCATCAAAACGAAGGTTGAAGTTTCAGTGTTGTCACCACGGGTTGCATTTCTCGATCATCAACGCTTGCTTCTAAATGTCGACAACAGTGCTCTCAAACAAAGAATTGCAGCATTGGCGCAGGATAAGATCTTCAAAGACGGTACGCACGTATATTATCATTGTTCTAATTTATCGTGCATAATTAAATTATTTAATTTTAATTTCACAAAATTGAACAATCAGCAACATGAATCTTGTTCACATTAATTTTAATTTCGTTTAAAGTTCAAGATATAAGAAAATTCTAGAGAGTTTTAACGAAAAGCTCGCGGTATTGTTCACTTTAACAAAAAATCACATTTTTACACTTGGTACTATTCATTTACCCTTTATTCTGTCCTTATCGTTAAAACTCAAAGTTTTCAAGCCCTTTTCATTAATTTTTCTAAAATTTTACTCTGGTGCACCATGCTTTCAGACTTCTGAAAAACTTGTCTCTTACAGAAATGCGAGTTGCACATGTTTTGTTTTGAAAGCTGGTGCACCAGTACCGTAAAAAGTATAAAATATAGACAACATATATATGATAAATTTTAACTTTGTCATTTGAGTTCACGTGTCTAAATATTAATTTTAAGTTTCCCTTAAATTAAAGGAAGAACATGTATAATTGCCCTTCAATCAGTTGAGCTCCTAGCTACCAACTTTTTCTTGTACTGGTGTGAGATCTAATTAATTCCCTGGCCATGTTAGGAAAAAATTAAGAGCTGCAGCCCATAAAAGGTAGTTAAAATTGGCACTCAAAAGTAGGAAAATGGAAATTATACCTTTCGATCGCAGATAAAGACACATATTTGATCCACCAAGAATGAATGCGCATAAAAAAGGTCATCGCATGCATGCTAAGAGTAGGAAGAAAATTAAGGAGATAATGAAATATCATGTGGCATCTCACTAATTGGTTCAATTGCAATATATGTAGCTAGTACAGTATATGTCCCCATGTTGTAATTAAATTTCTTCATTCTAAATTAGATTCATCAATATATAGTACTAGAAAGACGTACGAAAATTAGTGTAATGTTAGAGAGACTATATTTGTTAATTATTGTTTAATAGAAATGATTCCCTGTTGTCTATGTGGATACCGTTTTGTGCATAGGAGCAATTTTTTTACCTTATCTTTAGCTCTGGTGTATGTTCATCCCCCACACTACCATGCAGGTTGTCACCTGTTAAGCTAATTAACCATAGTTAAAACTTTGCAACTGAATTTTTCTGAAGATATGAAATGAAATGGTGAGGGGGTGAGAGGGGAAAAGGGAGCGGGGGTGAAAAAGTGTACAAGCGACAGAAAATCTTAATTGCAGGATTTTAAAATGATTAATTAGCTTAATAGGTGTCAACGATAGAGGTGTATATTAGATATACACCAGAGTTAAAGATGGGTAACACAAATGCTCCCCTTTATGTTTTCGAGATTTGGTTCACAAAAAATGTGGTTGGATACATAGTATTGTAGAATAAATAAAGTTCCAAATTCTTTTAAGGGTTGTTAGGTGTGTTCTATGGCTATGCATGTTTTTCTTTGGGGTTGAAATTTAGGAGGGAAGAAAAGTGATTAGGGATAAAGTAATTTAATTGTCATTAACATATAGGCATGTGTTTACATGTGTACATATTGATTGATCATGTGCACATTTTACTTTATAATGTGGGTTGTCACATGGTAATGAAACGGTTTTAATTTTATATTAATTTGAATTTGTGCAAACAAATATTGCAGCTCATCAAGAAGCATTGAAGAGGGAAATAGAGAGACTAAGGCAAGTGTATCACCAACAAAACGTCAAGATGGAGAAGGTTGCACAATCACCAACCTCGCTCACGCCCCGCTCAGACGCCATATCTACTCCTCCTCCTGATCAAACGGAACATCTTCTCAATGTGTCCTCATCCTGATCATCATCATTACCTCTACACTTCGAAAAGGATTTACATATAAGGAATTCACAGCCATGGTCATGTTCCGGCCCAAATTAACTATGTTAAAAGAGTAAGAGAGCAACTTTCGTGGAATATATTCACTATCATTTAGCATCTCTATCTAATAATACAATGTCACATGTAAGTTTCTTTGATATTTCATTATTGAACTGCGACACCACATTGCAGAAAATCCGTTCTATACGAGTCAGCTCTCGTATTTTCTGAGTATGGTTATTCCAATCCAACTGCTGCATGCAAACACTATAAGACAGACTCCAGCCACTACTACTAGTACTAGCCACTAGCTAGCGAGGAGGAAAGAAGTCACATTGTTGGGTGACTTGATCTGCTGCTGCTGCTTACCTGTAGAATCACGTGATGTGTTTAGCTTTAAAGAATGGGACCACTCAGATAATGTATGATTGGTTTGGAGGGAAGAACATGTGCATCTCTTGTTTCTTTACAAACTCAACAAAAAAAGAAGGATTAGGGTCGTCTTTGCTTGATAGGTGGTTTGGAGTGTGTAGTGTGATGCGATCATTCTTTAATGTTTTATATGATTTTTTTTTTTTCTCATTAGTTTTTCTTTTCTTTTGGATTATCTAGTGGGAGAAGGCAAAGTATAGTGGGGATGTGTTGAGATGAGTAAAAGTAAAGGTTGTCAAGGAGGTGCTTTAATGTCGCATTTGTTGTACATTTTAGTGTATTTGCTTGTTTGTAACACCTTCATTCTCTGCAGTAATTCATCGAAATATTTCGTTTTGGATGAAACTTGCATCCCGGACATACACATATCTTACTTCTTACAAATACTTTAACATTTAGATTTTGTAATCTACTTTTATTCCGACAAAAAAAATCATTCAAATCGAAAATTATTTATGCATCTAAATGTATGAAACATCTCTGGCACTTTTCTACTCATGATAATGCTAATGTTGTAAATAAAGTTCTTGAATATGTCATTGATGTGGTTTTGGAGAACATTGCTTAATTAGTAGTTAATTATGAAACTGAAGAATATGGTGTCCAGTCTCCTAAGGCCATCTTCCACCGAAGGAGGGCCAGAGGACTCACTCTTTTTGGCCCTATAGCCCTCTAAGAAATTAACATTTTAATGAACATTGTCAGACCATTTTTCTTACCATCTCAAACTGAAGGGCCAAATATAGCCAAGTGACAAAAAAACCATCTCCAACCGAAGGGGCTAAAGGGCCATAGGGCCAAACATAATTCATTATTTTAATTTAAAAACTACAACTTAAATTTTAAAACTACAACAACTTAAATCTAAAAACTACAACTTAAATTTAAAAATTACAACTTAAATTTAAAAACTACAACAATTTAAATTTAAAGTCTATAATCATCTTCATCATCATCATCCACAATTGTAGGATTATAGTCGAAGGTAAACAACCGTCGTCCGGCCATAATTTCCCTCTTTTTCCTATCAAGATAGGCCTTACTCATTGGAGTGTCGAAGTGTTCCTTTGCATATTCCTATAGTATGGAATGATGAAATTTATGTGAGAAATGATGTAAGAATGGTTTAGGTATTTATAGGAAAAAAATGGGAATTTTTTAAAAGCTTTTTTGTTCAAAAAATTTGGTCGAAAAAAAAATTCAAATCCAATGGCTAACTGACGTCAGCTAGCTGTTGGATTTGAAAATGTGGCCCGACCCGGGGCTAGCCGGGTTGGCCCAGCTGGTTGGCCTTTTTCTCCTTTTTTGGCCTAGTGGGGCCCATGAGCCATTTGGCCTAACCCTCAGTTAAAAACGGTTTTCATGTTATTTCGAGCTATTTTCAGCCCTCTGACCCTATAACCGGATCGGTTAGAGATGGCCTAAGGTAACTCATGTTAGTAATTCGGTGATCAAGCCGTCTCCTTCATTCGACTCACCTTGTGGTGAATAATTGTTTGGTAAAATTGGTGACATAAACTTGTAGTCCAATAGAGGCACGTCGGCTTTATTTATAGGGCTTCATTAATATAATATCTACTCTTAGGCATTGTTTCTCCTCAACAAGCTACTTTTATTTTCAAGCGACATAAAATGGATCATAGTGACCTTATTTGTAAGTGCTTCAATGTGATGGATAAATAAATCCCGTGGTGGCAACGTGGGACTTAAAGTTAATACAGCTAAGGCTTTTGATACATAAAACAGGTCTTTTCTATTGCAGGTGCTTACTAATTTGTCTATAGGTATCTACCATCTTGAGATCTGCTAAACTATCCATCTTGATCGATGGTTCTTTCCATGGCTTTTTCTCTTGTGGTGGGAGAGTGCGGCATGGGGACCCTCTATCTTCGTTGCTTTTCTTCTTAGCTGAAGAGGCTTTATGAGGAGTCTAAGTTGATTTCAGTTAGATGGGTTCACTATGCCAAATCCTGCTTCAAGAACTCTATGCAGACGATCTATTCAATTTTTTTTGCAGAAGTGATGATATCACTCTGCGTAGTCTACAAGGTTTCTTAGATGGCTATAGTAGGGCCTTTGTTCAATTCATCAGTAAGGAAAAAAGTACTTACTATTTGGTCCCAACTTCAAGGAATTGTAAAGCTGTGGTTGAGCATCACTTGAGGTTCAGAGAATATAAAGTGCCTTTTGTTTATTTAAGAGTCTCCATTTTTCGTGGCAAGCTTAGGAGATGTCTTCTTCAAGCCTTGGCAAATAAAGCAAAAGCCAAGTAAACAAGACGGAAGGAAAGATTTAATCAATGGGAGGCAGAGTTCAGCTAGTTCAATCCGTTTTTCAGAGTATATTTTCGCATAGCTTTTCTGCTTGTATGTGGTCTTCTTCATAAGTCTCTTTCACGACGCACTTTAACTTTATTTGGTTGGATGCAAGGACCTCAAAGAAGATTTTTAGAATGGGGTGTGCTATCCACACACCCATTTCTACTTCTTACACACTCTCTTAATTTGCAGCCGTTAGATCGATTAAATTAAAAAAATATCAAATAACAGAAATTAACACGAGATGTGCTATGTGTGGATAGCACATCCCCTTAGAATTTCTTGGTCTTAGGTTTATGCAAAAAAGATTGAGAGTGGTTTGAGATTACGTGATCTTTCCTCTCTAATTGCTATGACTCTTGTTAAAGCTTGGATGTGTTGTTATCACTTCTGATACTTCATTGAGCATTTACTTTTGTGAGAGGTTTTAACTTCATGATTGTTTTCTGTCTTTTGGTTACATGTGATATTCTGTATGGCCTAATATAAAATCCATTCTTCATATCTTATTTCATAATTGTCGTTGGGTGTTTGAAAAGGCTAGAAATGTACTAGTACTTTTTTCTAGGTTAATAAGTGGCGGTGAAGGTTGTTGGTGCTACTGTGATTACTAAACGAAACTTCATCCAATTTCTTAATCGGAAAAAGATTCTCAACACCTTGGAAACAACGAAATATGTATATACATTCTCTCTTTCAGAACACTAGTGTCAGCTTGTATCCGACTTAACCGCTTCCCCAACCTAGGATGATGATCTATCATTTGGGCAGCTTTATTGAACTTTTAATTGGAATTTTCCCGGTATTTTTCTTTATAGAAACATGGATAAAATCAACTTTTAATAAAAAATCATAACGATCCACTATGATGGTTACAAGGTGACCACATTTTTATGAACACACTGTATATACGTCCTCTACATTAGTATGAAGAAAATAAAATTGAAGTAACAAAAAATTGCATCTACATAATATAGGAAACATCTACTTGCAAATAAGCGTGCTCATGCCAATCATGCAATATATAATAGTTGGAGACATTCTGATCCCATCCATGTTAGTGAATAAATTTTCTACTCATTAGTTATGAACTTTATATTTGTTTTACATAATAAATAGAATTAGTTCTACTTTATATCTATGTAATTGAAATCAAATTTCAATTAGTTGTCGATGTGGACCATGATTTTCCAAAATTGGAGTAAGGCTGATCCGAATACAGTTACCTCAAAAATTCAATTATGGACTAATCAGCTCCGAGTGAAACTGTATCAGACAAAGTAACGGTGCCACCATCACCTTGTTCCGAGGCAATAGGCGAAGTCTAAGCGACTTTGCTGGATGACCATGCTTCTTCTCCAAGACATGCGATCTGATACGGATATGGACACAATCAGAAATTCTGATGAGTCTTGGAGTTCTTACAATCTAGGAATCGGTGTGCCTTTCAAGCAATCACACTCTAAAAGGGTGCAATAACTACTTAATATCCTTTCGGATTTTACCAGCTTAGGGTGGAGATTCTGTCATAGCACTACTACAAAATTATCTATAACTGGCGGTCCAAAAACCGACAAAAAACGTATAGAACTATCGGATTTTAACCAAAATTCGACAGAAAATGGATGCAGTGGCGGATATAATAATCGACAGAATTGCCAGCATCAGGAAATAAATTTTCCGACAGAAAATACTCTAAAACCGACAGCAATTGTGTCGGATATAACTGACAGAAATTGTGTCAGATATAAGAGCATTCTCTGTCGGATAAAACCGATAGAAAATATATAAAACCGACAGAACTTGTGTCGGCTATAACTGACAGGGAATATATTAATAATAAGTAAGAGCATTCTCTGTCGGATAAAACTAACATCAAATATATTAATAATAAAAAATATAAAAAGGACATGAGAGCATTCTCCCTTCTCCTTCTCATTGAGCATTCTTCTCCTCTTGTGTTAATGTGAACTTCACATCTTGCACAATCTGTATTCGAGGCAAAGAGCAGATTCAGAACCCAAACTAAAAAAGCCTACACCATGACCCATAGTCAACTGGTTTCATGTAGATACCAACTATCTTTCAGTTCAAAAGATGGTTGGACATATTGAAACGTATTAGAGAAATGAAAAAAAAAAAACATTTTCAATCTGAAACATTTGTATCCATTCTTTTCCGCAAACAGTTATCACCTAACCACATACATCAATTAGTAGCCTTTGCAATTTACACATGTTTTCAGTGTCTTACAATGCACATCCAATATCAACAACAATCTACAAATCTTATTGGCTATACCAAGGTGTAACACTAGTTGTTTTAATATATATCAAAATAACCCTTTCAACAGAAGCTATGTTCCAATATTTTTTGACATAATGTACAACTAAATAGATACTTAAATATCCCCCCACCACCAATGAAAACGTCCTAAACACTCTCTCTGATGGTCATGCCGCTCTTGACATCAATGTTAGGAGTGGGGAGGTGTAGCTTTGTGGGGCGTTCACTGTCCCTAACCTCCCTCTGGATCCAAAGGACAGTCAGTCGATACATAGTCTCCAAGAACAGAGACAGTTCCAGGGAAACATCTCCCATCATCTCATAAGGTTTGGTAGGAAAAACATATAGGTGAACAACAAAAGCAATGCCCATCTGTGCAGGTTGAAAACGCAGAACGCAAAAATCCAAAAACCATGTAACGAGAGAAGGGAGAATGCTCAACAAAAAAATATAAAAAGGAGATGGAAATGAGGAGAAGAGAAAAGGGGGAAGGGAGAAGGCACTGGCGCAAGGAAGAGATAGAAAGGTTTTATGTTGGAAAATTTTCATTACTGTCAGTTAAAACCGACAGTAACATTTTTTAAAATAAAAACAAACAGGAAATTTTCATTACAATCGGTTATAACCGACAGGAAAAAAAAAAAAAAGGTGGCAAAATTCCCCCCAAAATTCCCTCCCAAAATTTTAAATCCCCCCCCAAAATTTTGTTACGATTTTAAAAAATAAAAAAATAATTGTTTGGTTTAATACATAAAT